TTGCTATTGCTATTGCTATTGCACTGGAACTCACCATCTCCTGGTAACTGGCCCAAAGTCACCTAGCCACCTTTCCCGCCTAAGGTGGGACTAGAACTCACTGTCTCCTGGTGATTGGCCAAAAGTCACCCAGTTAGCTTTCATGCCTAAGGTGAGACTAGAACTCACTGTCTCCTGGTGATTGGCCCAAAGTCACCAAGCCACCTTTCACGCCTAATGTGGGACTAGAACTCACTGTCTCTTGGTGATTGGCCAAAAGTCACCCAGTTAGCTTTCATGCCTAAGGTGGGACTAGAACCCATTGTCTCCTGGTGATTGGTCCAAAGTCACCCAGCCAAATTTTCATGCTTAGGGCTAGAACTCACAGTCTCCTGCTTTCTAGCCTGGTGCCTTAACCAACTACACCAAACTCGATTCTCATTCTCATTTCCAGTAATAATGATATTCTTCTCAAACCTTTGTTTTTCTGCTTGGTCCACTTAGAGGCAGTTTGGAAGGGAAGAGAGAGCAGAAGAGCTACAAAGCGGTTTTGGAAAGCCCCATGCTGAGGTTCTCCGGGTTGTATCAAGAAACGTGTTCTGACCTCTATGTCACCTGCCAGGTGTTTGCAGAAGGAAAGCCCCTTGCTCTCCCTGTCCGGACATCCTACAAAGCTTTCAGCACCAGGTGGAAGTAAGTCCTCTGGGTTGGGGATTAGTAGTGCATATCCTAAGCATCTCATCTGGATGTCTATGGAGATTCTCAGTTATCCAAGTTAGGTAGCAGAAATTTCAAGTAGTCCAGAGAACCGGTAGTGGAAATTTTGAATAGTTTGGAGAACCAGTAGCAGAAACTTTGAGTACTTTGGAGAACTGGTAGCAGAAACTTTGAGTAGTTTGGAGAACCGGTAGCAGAAATTTCAAGTAGTTTGGAGAACTGGTAGTGGAAATTTTGAATAGTTTGGAGAACCAGTAGCAGAAATTTTGAGTAGTTTGGAGAACCAGTAGCAGAAATGTTGAGTAGTTCAGAGAACTGGCAGCAGAAATGTTGAGTAGTTCAGAGAACCGGTAGCGGAAATTTTGAGTAGTTTGGAGAACCGGCAAATGCAATAGCAATAGCAATAGCAGTAGACTTATATACCGCTTCATAGGCCTTTCAGGCCTCTCTAAGCGGTTTACAGAGAGTCAGCATATTGNCCCCCCCCCGCCCGCTTCTTGCTTTATTTGAGTATGTATTCCATTTTTCTCTTTTTTTCCTCTTGCAACTTTCAATCAAATGATATTTATTTTTAAAAAGACAAGGGGGAAAAAAACACTGCTTCAGAGGGCTCCAGTTTCTGGAAGTGCAAAGTTCATATAACCAACTTAGAAAACAAAATAAAAAGAACGCGGACAAAAAGAAAACAAAATCCCACCTCGCCCCTCATTAAACTGCATTGATTGGTCAGTTTCTCATTTTTGTACGGAAAAACAAAACCCCAGGGCGCTGCCATCTCGGTCCATTTCCTATGGGCGCGGCCATCTTTATTCCCCCCGCTCCTCTACGCGCCCCTTCCGTACAACCCCCTCCCGCCATCTTAGCGTCGGGCAAAAGGAAGCCGACCCCCGCAACGAGGAAAGATGTTTCGTTGCCCTTTCTCGGACGTCAGGGTGGGCGGGGCGCCCGCGCGCTCCAATCAGACCGCGCCTCAGGGAGCGCCCCCAGTCGCGGATTGGACGGCTGGCAGAGCGCGGAGGGAGGGGAGTCGCGCGAAAGCATCAGCTGGTTTGCCGATGACAGAGACAGCAGCGGGAGGGTTGGCGCACCAGCCGCCATGGGGGAAGCGGAGAAGTTCTACTATGTCTACAGCTGCGAGCTGGACCTGAACGTGCAGCTGAAGATGTGAGTTGACCCCCCCCTCCCCACCCCACCCCCGAGGATGCGCATGCTCTGCCCTCCCCTTTTTTTAAGGGGGTGGGGGAGGATAATAGGAGCGCTGCTCCTGTCCCAGGGCTCAGAGTTTGGGGAGGGGGTCCCTGCTTTGCAATTAATTGGGGAGGGAGGAGGGTCCCTGCTATGGATATAACTGGGACGGGAGGAGGGGTCCCTGCCTTGCAATTAATTGGGACAGGAGGGGGGGGGACCTGGGATGAAAGGAGGGGGCCCGGCTTTGCAATTAATTTGGGAGGGAGGAGGGTCCTTGCTTTGCAAGTAACTGGGACAGGAGGAGGGGTCCCTGCTTTGCAAATAACTGGGGAGGGAGGAGAGGGTCCCTGCTTTGCAATGACCTGGGATGAAGGGAGGGGCCTCGGCTTTAGAGTTAACTGGGGGGGGGAGGAGAGGGTCCCTGCTTAGCAATTAAGTGGGACAGGAAGAGGGTCCCTTCTTTGCAACTAACTGGGGAGGGGGGAGAGGGTCCCTGCTTAGCAATTAAGTGGGACAGGAAGAGGGTCCCTTCTTTGCAACTAACTGGGGAGGGGGGAGAGGGTCCCTGCTTAGCAATTAAGTGGGACAGGAGGAGGATCCCTTCTTTGCAACTAACTGGGGAGGGGGGAGAGGGTCGCTGCTTAGCAATTAAGTGGGACAGGAGGAGGATCCCTTCTTTGCAACTAACTGGGGAGGGGGGAGAGGGTCGCTGCTTAGCAATTAAGTGGGACAGG